AAGGACTGACGATGAGATACCAGGTTAGAACCAATAACATTGCAGATTCTTTGGATTTTACCAAGAATCTCTAAATATATAACAGGGGCCTCAGACCAGATGTAGTAGAAGTATTCAAAGAAAGGGTAAATGGTAGACTTACAAATATGTAAGATCGATTTTGGCTAGAAAAATTCTCTTACAGTAAACCTAGCAATTGATTCATTATAATCTTTTCCATTTCATGTAAGTTGAAATGTTAGTCTTAGAATGCATAATAAATCACCTCCCCTAGGGTTAGCATTGGCCATGTTGATGGAAATTAAAAAGGCTTGTCTGAATTTAAGTGAATCACTTGTGCCTAAAGAAAAACTAATCAAAAAATGAATAATAAACTCTTTCCTTTAATTTAGAAAGAAATCTGGCAAAAGACTTCATGTGGAATGAAATGCACAGAAACTCTATAAGAGAAAACTGATATTTTCCGTTCATATTTTTATGTGAACATATGACAAAATTTCCATTCTCTGCAATCATCTCAGCTTAGTCTAGCATGTGGCCATGTTAATAGGGAATTAAAGTCATTAGCAAGAAAATAGTCTTTTTTGCCAAAAATGCTAACTTTATTGTCAAGTTTAGCCAATTTATCTCTTTGTTCTATTAGTTCCTCTAGAATCTGGTGAGATTTTCCCATCACAGTAAACGTGAAGGAGTTCAACAATTTGTTTGGCAATGGAAAGGATCTATTTTAGTCATGTTTCCTAATTATTCAATTATATTATCGCAAATAGTTCACTTTGATTCCATAAGAGTCTAACCCTGCCAACAAATGATATGTATGACATTCAACGTCATAATTAGACTTTTACTAATCTGCACTCAATATAAGTCCCAAGAGCCATTCAAGGTAGAGGGTTACTGTGTGGTGTCGTATGAGCATAAAGGGCAAGAAGTGAATTTCTTGGGGACTATGCAGGAAAGATAATGGCTAACTCTAGACTTGAAGAGGTCAAGATTGTGAGTGGGAAAGCATAAGCAAATGAAACAGTCTTTAGAAGAAACTGGGAACCCAATCCTAAACAGGAAACAAGGGATAAACCTCTACTCTTATTCAAAAAACTTGGGAGGGGTGTGGACCAGATGATAGGTAAACCTATCTACTCCTATTGGGAGAGAGAGAGAAAAAATTCCAGGTGAAGATGTTAGAAAATAGTTTCTTATTTATGCTAACAACAATGAAGGAAATATTTTGTCAACTTAAAAAGACTTAACTGGTATCAAAGCTTTATTGTTGATGGAATAGATTTCTCAACTGATAAAACTCACTTAGAAGGGAAGCAGTTTTTTATAATATTAAAATAGAAATGTTATTTTTTTTCTCCGTCACATCATTGTTAATAGTTGGCAGTAATTAAGTGCTAAATGAGCGATTTTTTAATCTAATTTTATTTCTTATTACTATAAACATATTTAGTGGGTGTACATGTTTGAGAAAGACATCTGACAACAGTGAAATTGATGTCTCCTGTTCTGTACAATTGAAAACCTTATTAAAGAAAATAAGGGGATCAAACATGTACTTTTTTTTAACCTAAGATAAACCACAGATGTGCTTTTTAACTGCTCAGTCATAGGTGAGCCCACAGCAAAACAAGGCTCAATGACCTTTTTTAAAGAATTTTGTTTTGAAACCTACATCAGCTGAGTTTATATTTGTACCCAAAACAAAAAAGTAATTTTTAAGTAATCAATGGACTTTTGAATCCAGCATTATTTTTTATTACTATAAATGTTATATTTAGACAGTACACATGTTTGAGAAGAGAGCAAAGTTGATGTCTACCATCCTGGGTTATTGGAAAGGTCACTATCATTACTACTGTAGCTTGTTAAAATGATTATTTACATGGTTTATCATATAGATTGTTTAGACTGATATTTTATTTGAAGCCATATAATAATTTGTTGACAGAAATGAGTCTTGAAGAATTACTAAGGATTTAATCAGCAAATTAAGAATTGCTTTTCACCCCCCCAAAAAAACTCTCCTTGTCATTTTCAGCCATAAGCACAACAGATAGGATTTCATTTACAGATAATTAAAAAGCATTGTTTAAAACTCTAAACTTGGTGCAGCTTGGGTTGGGAGAATTATGATATTGCCAAAGGTGCGATTAAGCATTAATTCCATTCATGTTTAGTCTCAGAACCAGAAATAGAAGTGTTTTGATCATAGGTTCAAAATAAAAAAAATCTATAACTGATTTCTGTTTGACCAGTAAGCAGTGATATATCCTGAAGACATTGTGTTCTACTTAGGGTCTTGGAAAAAGCTTAATGAGAATTCATAAACTAAGATAAACTTGCTGATTAAATTGGTAAATCTTCAAGACAATTCTCTGGTTATTAATAATTGTAAATCCATTGATGTAGAACACAAAATAGTTATGTACAATTGATACAGAATAAAAGCAGACTGAAAAGAGAAATGCTGGACATTGTTCATTGGACATTTATGTTAAAAAAAAAAAAAAATTGGTTTCTAAATCTACAGCTGTAAAGCATTGATACAAAGCACTAAAATTGAGTTTTGATATTTTCAATACAGAATGGCCATCATATTTCAAATATTGAAGCAATCTAAGCAAATTCTTTTGATTGTTAAGCTACAGAAAGAATTGCACTCTTCAGTTGTCAACTTGAACAGAAGTTGCAATGGGATCAGTGTAAGTATATAAAATAAATCTATGTTTAGGGGATGAGAGAAATAATGAAAGACTATTAAAAAAATTAAATTAAAGCAACAACAAAAAAAAAACTTTTCCAATAATTAAATTATTAACTATTGATTGTAGTATCATGATTTTGAGCCTTAAAAATGACTCTTTTGTTAAATCTCTTATAACCATTGTCAATATAATTTTTGTTTTAAAAATAATTAACTAAATTACACATTTGTCTATATTTCTGAGATTGAGGTATTGCAACTATTTACATTGTTCGGACTGTTGTCCTCATCTTTGTCATATTCAGAACATTTCAGCCATTGTACAAACTGGCCTTCCTCATGTGATACATGTTGAAATTTCAAATTGAACCCTTTATTTAATCCACTGGGGTAGATTGTTCTAGTTTCAAGAACACATTGCCCAGTAGATAAAAGCATTGGTTGAAGTAATCCAGTGACATGACCAAAGAGTTGTGAGTTCAATCCCTGGCCACAGCAGAGGTGAACAAAAACTTGGAGAGTTACTAAAGGAAAAATTTACAATTTACCCCCATGGATTGAATAAAGAGTTTGATTTGAAATTTCAATATATGTCACCTGAAGATGCCTGGAGCTGAAATGTTGTGAATATGACAATAAATATGAAGAGAAATCTGAACAATGTAAATAGTGTAAATAAATGATACATTTAATAGCATTCTTTCTTTTATAATAAAATTTATAATATATGTTTTTATCAATTTTAGTAATTATATTCCATCTGGCATTTTAGTTAGACATCAAATTTTCTCACTCCATTTTATGTCTTTGGAAATCTTTGATTTTATTCTGTTTTATGTACTTCTGTGATCCACTAAGATTTTGAGTGCAACTCTTTCTGTGGTTTGAGATTTTTGTTTTTTGTTTGTGGGTAAATGTTGCTTTTTATCAATTATTGATATGTTTTCAATGTGTTTATAATAATTATAGATATGCCTCCAATCGTCTTTATTGGATTACTCTTCTTGTAGTATTTTTTTTTCTTGTTTAAACTATTGAATATTTTTGCAGCATAGAAATATAATTAATAATTCTTGTCTGACAATCACAGGAAAGCATTTTAGCTAATGTTTTCAAGAATTATATATATATATGTTATTCTTTTGTTTCCCCCATCAATTGAATATATATATATATATATATATATTTCTGGTTATGCTGTGGGAAAACAAGGAAGCTTCAAAATGTATTGTGTACAATGAAAGAAAAAAAAATAGTCATTAAAAAAATTTGTCTCATATCCACAATTGGCATTATTCAGAATATTCTGGGATTGTAGAAAATAAATTTAAATTCAGAAACATGCATGCTAAGATGAGTTTGAAGAATTTAAAAAAACAAAATGTGATAAATTTTGTATCACAGCAGAAAATTGTTAAAGCACTACATTATATAAGAAGTGCAATCTGAAACATACAACCTTTGAAAAATAATTTTTCATTCTTTTCAAAGGAAATTTTAATTATTGAAAATCACATTTCTTATTGGGATTAAAAAGTATTTTTACCTACAAAAAACCTTCTCTTGAATATATCTAGAGAAAGATTTGAAAAAAAAAAATTACCCTAACCTTGTGTTATATTAAAGCAAACAATTGTAAATTAATCTTACATATGGGGGATTACTGAGAAGTTGTTAATCTCACCCACTTCCTAAAATCTGACCAAGCATCAGAATATATATTTTTTTTTAGTCCAAAAACTTTCAGCACCCCCTCTTATCTCCCTATTCCTACCATATGTAGCAATATGAAAAGCCAACAGTTTTTATATTTATACCCAATTTGGGTAAACAAATTTTAAGTGAATTTAATTTCAGAGAAAAGTGAATTTATATTAAAGAAATGTGGTTTTAGCTGATTTTATGATAAAAAAAATTACTTTCATACCTTTAATGCCAAATTTAACTTTACAGTTTAATTCTTTTCTACAACTGCCAGATGTTTTTTTTTTCAATCATGGGACACAATTGTATTTAGATAGAGATATGAGACAAATCAAGCAATGACAAAAACCCTTTTTTATTTCCTTCTCTCTGCTTTCTCTTCCTTTAATGCCTGTGCTAATATTGACCGATTGTTGCCTGTGCTAATATTGACCGATTGTTGCCTGTGCTAATATTGACTGATTGTTGCCTGGTTGCAGTAAGCTCTTACTTTTTCTTATATGCAGAAAAGAATTTTTTTTTTGTTTTTATTTTTCTTGCCGAAATTTTTAAAGCCTGATTAGTTGAAGATACAGCAGGTGAGAATTGATTAGCACAACAACCTCAAGTCAAAGAACACAGAGCGAGAGAGAGAGACTGGATGAACAAATGGAGTAGCAGATGAGCAAACAGATTTAGCTAAAGAACCGGGATACTTTTGGCTGAAGGAGTTTGAAAAAGGAATCTGGAACCAAAGTTCTGGATACATTTGCATACATGTAAAACTTGATGGGTTGAGCTATAACATCCAACAAAGCTGATAACAAGTCCCGGTTCTGTAAAAAAGAAAACAGAAAAAATTAGGAACATTTTTTTTTATATCATTAGTCATGTTGGTAATTGTTGACTTAAGTTTAAAATTTAAAGTTATTAATAATTGTGATATGTCCTGTTTAAAAAGTTCATAATTTAATCTTTATTTTTTTTCTGATACAAACCTTATGCAAAATATTTAGAGATGTGCTTAGATGGTAAAAGGAGTGCATTTCACACAAACACACACATGCTTTCTTTCTCTCTCTCTCTCTCTATTTATATATATATATATATATGTGTGTGTGTGTGTGTGTGTGATTATTTTGGGGATTTAGGCTAATCATATAGTAATTCGTCAAGCCTAGAACAATCCTCAACAGAATGCAGAAAGCACTGGACGGTCATTTCATCCTATCTGGGACTCATCAGCAGTGCACATCCATTACCGAGTGAGAAGCAGCACTATATCGAGTTTAGTTTGTGTCTTCTTCGTCACTGAAGCCCTTGGTACAGTTGGTATGATGTTTGCTTTGTATCGAAACAGTCCAGGTTGGATTCTCCATAGTGGATGTGTACTGCTGATGAGTCCCAGATAGGATGAAATGGCCATCCAGTGCTTTCTGCATACTGTTGAGGATTATTCCAGGCTCAACAGATTACTATATGATTATATATATATATATATATATATATATATATATATATATATATATATATATATAAGTTATGAAGAACTTGGTAATCCATACGGGTAATCCCAAGGAGGATGAAATCCTGAGAGCTCAATGTAAATCCAGAGCTAATATTTAAAAGAAAAACAGGCCACTTTAAGGTACCATTATAATAATTTATTTCACCAGAGCCCTTTTAAAGGACACCGGATCACCTGATAGCACTTCCAAAAATGAAATGAAACAAAAAATGAAATTAAAATTGATGGGTAGTGTAAGTTTTTGTAATTTAACAGAGAGTGTAAAAGGGATAGTTAAAGAGACATGGTAGAGTATAGGGAGGGATTAATTTCATATCTCTCTCAAGTATACTTTGTATTGGGGGAGGAGGAGTGACCAGACCTTGACCTATTTAGATGGTTAACTTAACGGAAGTGATATATTGAAATGGGAGGGGAGTAGGGAGAAAAGAAAAAGGAAAAAGGGAAAAAGAAAGAAGAGGGCGAGGGAGAGGAAAGTAAAGAGAAAGAGGCTGTAATTGGGTTTTAGTAATTTATGTAAAGAATAGATTTTAATGCTGGATAGAAATTTAGATGTCTAAAAAAAAATTTATTTGATGTTTGCTATCAATTTAAATATTTAATTTTTTAAACAAATAGTTTAAGGATTTAATATAAGTTAAATACTATATTTATTAACACATTTATAGAGAACATATTAAAAAAATATTTTAAAGTATAATAGTTTGTTTACTCGACCAATCATACTTTTTTAATATTGTAAAAATAGTTACGGTAACATCTTTATTAGTTTTACTTTTAATCTAATTTATGAATGCAATTTTCATTATTTTTATATGGGTAATCTAGATATATATATAATCTCAGACAAAGGCATTCTTGAGAGCTCTTTTGGCTAACAAATCAGAAGAAAATGTTAACCAAGTTGACCGACAAAATGGGAAACAATTTGCACAGTAGGAGAAAATATGTAAGGTGGAAAAAAGTGCAATGACTAAAATTAGAATTTATTGGTGAAATATTCATTAATAAAATGAGGGATGAATGAGAAAAAATGTGTGTGGGGAGATACATGAATAAAAACTCTATGGTTCCAGGTGAGTATAAAACTGAAAAATTGTTGCTCAGACACCTCCTAAAAGACTGAGTGAATAAAATTCTCTTTCTGTTTGCACAGAAGCGGTTAATATAATTTAATATGGACCGCTTCTAGTAAACAAAAATGCTGAGCAGTTCAGGCTCTGTACAAAACAGGGAATGAATTGTTCATCTATTTTGGTACACAATTCAAATTACCCACCAGGTGAGTCATGCAGAGTGGGTATCTCATAAACTATGATCAGAAGAACCTTGTCTTATGCTAGCAGAAAAGTGTTGACCAATCCAGGTTTTCAATTGCCAATTGATTTTGTCCTACATATCCAGCTTTGCATTAACATTTAAATTTGTAGACAATAGAGAACTATTTTGAAGGTAGGACAAATCATCTTTAACAAATGAAAGGAAAACTAGAAAATCTCAGCCACCAAGTCAATGTAGTTGTAGTGTGGCCAACATAAATATTATTTTTTCCATTAGATGCATGTATGTATATAGCATCTCAATTTCAGCTGTTTTAATCAGACAGTTATACCTACAATATATATGGCAGCTGGGTCCCATTTTAAGCAACTCTTTTTATGCTTATATATATATATTTAACTATTTTAAAAAATGCTTTCCATCTACCAAAGATACATTTGTGATGTCCTTATTTTAGTCAAAAATATGGAAGAAATATATAAACTCTATAAACAATTCCAAAATAATCCTCTCCTTAAATATACATCAGTCAGTTATGTGCCATGTGTGATACACGCTTAGGTGATCATGTATCTTTTGATACATGACTGACGAGGCAGATTTTTTCCTGCAGTAGATTGCCATTTCTTTCTGCAGTAAACCAATTGCCATCCAAGGCTATAGAACCCAGTCTGTCCTGCTATTTACCCATAGCTGGGGGGAGAAGAAGAGGATTCATACCTTTCCCAAGGGTATTAGCACTTAAGTAAATGTAATGGATTTGACTGGAATTTAAACTTGGCTCAGCCAATTCCTCAATCTGAAACTTAAAATTCCTTTTCTAGATATATTGATAAACACTAATAAATTTGATATCTCCCTATATAAGAAAACTACCAGCATAAATTTGTGCACCCTTAACAATAAAAGTGAATGTCCTAATTACTATAAAATAGCAATTATAAAAAACTTTAATAAACAATGGAAAAATTAATGCATCTACAAAAAGATTTTCTACAGTGAACTAACAAATATAAAACAAACTCTTAATAATAACTTCCCTAATTATATTGTTGATGAACAAATAAGATGTTCTATTAGAAATTTTAATACAAAGCAAATTGAATATAATACTTCTTCAACTAATGACAAACATATTAATTTTGTATATTGTAACCAAATACATTCTAATAAAAATTAATAAATACTAACATTTCCATCACAGACCTTAAAAAAAAAAAATTGAGTATATACTACACTAAATCTAGTATATCTAATACAATCATTCATACTGACTCTTCCCCACCAACTAACATATTGCAGAAAATGAACATTGTATATAAATATAAATGTCCTCTGGGAGATTGTATCTCCAATGGAAGAAATATTTATGTTGGCCATACTACAACCACTTTTTCTTGACAGCTGAGTTTGCATTTGAATTATGCATCTATTCTAAACATTTACAACAGCATGCCTGTCCTCATTTGCAATTCAGAAATTCTTGTTGAAAATGCCTCTATACTTTTTTCGTGAAAATAATAAAGATAAACTAAAAATTCTTGAAGCTGTCTATATTAAAAAATTGAAACCAAACCTTAATAAAATTAATTATGAATACTGCACAAATGTTTACAGTAGATAGTTTAAAATATGCATGTAGTTTTTTATTGATACTTAAAACATCTGACAACACCATAACTTAGTTACCTCCCCTGAAGCAAAACTCAAGGCAATCACTCAGCATTCTTCATTTCACAAATAAAAAATTCAAACTTTCAGATGAACACAGAAATTTTTGTTTTTGAAAATGAATACTACAATATATATCTTGAAATAAACAACACTTTGATAATGATATTGTGCTAATGGTGAAAGTATTCAGAATAAAATGTATCAACACAGTAATTTTCTCTCTTCCTTGAATAATGACACTAAAAAGCTTGTCTGTGAATATGAAAGAATCAAATTGAAAATAAGTAGACAAAACTTCTCTAAATTATTCAATGAAAAATGTCTCAATGAAAACATGCTGCCAAAATATATACTATATACATATATATATATATATATATATATATATATATATATATATATATATATATATATATATTTTATGCAAAAACTAGGTAATCCATATGGGTAGACCCATGGAGGATGATATCCAGAGAGCTCAATGTAAATTCAGAGCAGATATGTTTGAATAAAAACAGACCAATTTAAGGTTCCATGTAATAAGTTATTTCACCATAACCCCTTTAACAGGGTTCTGGATCATCAGACTTTACTTCCAAATGTACTTATACTTTATATAATTTACTTCAAATGTACATATATGGGTATTTGTATGTGTATTGCATAGATGTATATGTATATAGATATACATATGACTTTATGTGTGTATATGTATATATGTAAGTTTAAGTGTATGTGTGGATATGTATGTAGATATGTGTGTATGTGTTTCTCTGCAGGTGTATATGTGTAGGTATGGGAATATACATATAGTTTTCATGTGGATGTGTGTGCATGTGTATGTAAGAACTCATAGGTAGATAGTGAGATATAGGTATGTGGATATAGATAGGTGTTCGGATATGTGTAGAAGTGTGTATGTGTATATAAAAGATTGTAAAAGAAGGACCTAATTTTCTCCTAGTAATATTTTATCCAAATCACTCCTCTAATATTCTCTAATTGGAAGTAAGTTTAAATAACACGGGGGTAAAGTTTAAATTGGTAATTTAATTTAAATTGAAATATATTACCCTTTAACAATCATTATTGACGATAAAGGTATTTTAATTGGAAGAACCTTTGATAATTATGTAGGTATCTTAAAAAAGTCACGAGTTTAATCTATGAACAAAACTCAAACGAATAGATATCAACTGAATAAGAAACTAGAAAAAGGTATATGTATAGATATATAGAACATTGTAAATGAAGGACCTAACTCTCTGGTAGTAATCCTTTATCCAATTTTCTCCTCTAATATTCTCCAATTGAAAGTGAGTTTAAATAAATAATACGGAGGTAAACTTTAAATTGATAGTTTAATTTAAATTGAAATATATTACCCTTTAATAATCATTATTGATGATAAAATTATTTAAATTGGAATAACCTTTGATAATTAGGTACCTAAAAACAATCACGAGTTTATTTAATTAATGAACAAAAATCAAATGAATAGATGTCAACTTAGCAATCAATAAGAAAAATGTTTAGGAAAATAAAAAAGATTACTAAATATAAAATGGATTATTCTTTCAATGTACTTTCTATGAGTTTTTCCAATCGACTGTTTCATAGAAAATACTCAAAACTCCAACAAACTTCAAATTAAATTTTTCGTAGATTGTTTCGACATTTAGATTTATATCAAACCTCACTTCCTCACTTCGTTAATTTTACATATGCTTGATGCGGTCCGTCAAAAATGTATGAATTTCTTTTCATTTTTCATTTCAACCTTTGGAAGTAAAATTGGATGATCCAGAGCCCTGTTAAAGGGGTTGTGGTGAAATAACTTATTACATGGAACCTTAAAGTGGTCTGTTTTTATTCAAATATATATATATATATATATATTCAAATATAACAAACAAATACATATGTAAAATGACTATGAATAGACAAAAGGAAAATTTTTTTAGCTGATGCATTTCATCCTCTGATGAATTTTATCAAGGCAAATGAAAGGATATTATTTTGCAACAAGTATTTATAAACAAGTAAAATATTAGTTTTCCAAAATTTTAAATTTAAAAACACTCATAAATATACTTAAGTTGAATTGAAAGTCAGTAAATTATGGAAGCTGCTAAGTGATGTAAATGAAAATGAATAAATGTTATTTTTTTAATTATATAATTAATATTTATATTTTATTTTGATAAATTAATTTATGTATTATATATTCTAAATAATAGGTTTTGAATTTAACCATTTTATTTTAATTTTTTGAAATTTTTAGTCATGCATGCTGACTTGGGGAAAAGGTATTTCCTTTAGGAAATGAGATATTTAAAAACAAAAATTCAGAGCACAGATATATATATAGTAAAGGTAATAAATCCATTGGTATATAATCCAAGTGGATCCTAGTAATATAAAATATTAAAATTGATCCACAAAAAGAGCCCAATGAATTTATTATTACAGAGCGATTATTAGTACACAATAAAATCCCAAATTACTTCATATGTGGATAGATCTATTTCAACCAATGAAAACTTTGTCATTCTTATTTGACCCCAGTGTAGAGACTGAATTCGTGTCGGAATTAGAAATTTAAATGTGACTAATTCCTACACAAACTCAGTCTATATACCAGGGTTGAATAAGATTAACAAAGTTTTCGTCAATTGAAATAGGTCTATTCCCCATATGAGGTAATTTGGGATTTTATTGTGTATATATATATATATATATATATATATATACACACACACACAATTGATTTGTGGTGTAAGATGAAGGTTGTTTACAGGACTGTGAGTGAGAGAAACATCACCATAAACATTTTACGCACTAGGTTAAATTTCACTACTTGCTGTCAATATGTTGTTCATTTTTTGTTTTTGTTTGTTTAATGGCATATCAACACTTTATGGGTCATTTAATGCTGAAATTTAATTTTCTTGGGATCTTTGAAGTAATAAAAATGTTGTTCTTCTTTCATAGTTGAATACATGGTAAATGATACTCATCTTTTGTGCATATACTTGTTTACTAGAGGCAGTGATATGTTTTATGTTGCAGTTTTGTTAAAGAAATCAAACTGTATTCCAAAATATAACTTTAAGAAATTGTACAATATTATATGGGTTAATGTTATGAATGTTCTTTTATGTTGGTTGATTTCATCTAGTGGCATATCAACACATCTATGGGTTATTGAATGCTGAAATCTAAATATTTTGAATGCAGTTGCATGCGTTCAACTACAAATAAAATATATTGTTAGTCATTTTATGATAAAAATTTGTTTTTATACTTTCATAGTGCTTTGTTTCTGTTTGGAAATTCACTATTTGCCTATAGCTGGGACCCTAACAGGTGCTGCCACCCGACTCTGAGTGAACCTGGGAACAACAGCAATTAAGAGGTATTTCCATGCTCTTCAAAATGTCCAATCTCCCAATAGCATATCCTTGCTGCCAAATGTAGTTTAGTGTCATACCCAGGACTATCATTTACACTGATTAATTATTACCTAAATTTTTTAATTGAATTATTACTGCTTATATACATTTTGAATTTATATATTTTGTTTGACTCACAAAACTTAATATGTCAAAAAATAATTTATTTTTAAAAAGTGTATTGCCAATGCAAAAAGTATAGAAAAGCTTTTGTATTTATGGTTTCATTGATTCTTTTTTATGGTTTATCCACCTTTTTTATTTAAATGCAGAATATATTTTTAGATTGCAAGAATTTGTTTTTGGAGATAATAATAATTTTAGTGATACAAGTCTTACTAATTAACCCATAGCTGGTGGGGAAAAGATGTGGATTTATGCCTTTCCCAAGGATATATGTACACAAGTGAATAAAACAAACTCAAAGGGAATTGGAACTCGGCTCTTCGATTAACAATTATGAGTCGTTATCCATTACACCACCTGCACATCCAAGCTTGGTATTCCCAGACAGTTACCCAACTAGGTACTGACCAACTCAACATTACTTTGGGAACGGGTGTTTCAATGTGATATGGCCATAAGCCTTGTATTTATGTATCTCAGATCAATGCAAATGGCTGATTGGTTAGAATATTAGCATTCCAACCATGAGACTTGGGTTCAAATCATACCATAGTTGATTTGTCAGAGAGGTGGCTTCTTGATATTGACCCAAGGATATGATCATAGCATGTAACACTGTTGGGAAGTACCTGAAAACCGTGCCATTGGTTGACCCATTGACTATTCAGAAGCCATCGGTGGTTGTTCCAGCAAAAGTGCAAGCATCCTGGCCTTTTTGCAACTACTCATCTTACATGGGTCAATCATTTTGCTGATTATAATTAGATGATATATTTTCTATTTACGCTATTTACATTGACTCTTTTCTACATCTTGCTCGTCATATTAATAACACTACAGCCATTGTACACACTGGCCTTCTTCAGGTGTTATACATTGAAATTTCATACTAAACCCTTTATTTCATCCACTGGCATAGATTGTTCTCATTCCACGTGCCATGCATTTTATGGATATCTCATTTTTAGTTATTTCCCTTTAGTAACTCAACTCAACAAGCTTTTGTTCACCTCTGCTTTGGCCAGGTATTGAACTCACAACTCTTTGGGTCAAGTCACTGGTTTACTTCAACCAACACTTTATCCACTGTGCCATGTGTCCTTGAGGTTCAAAATTCCAACATATATCATCTGAAGAAGGCCGGGGCATACAATTGCTGAAACCTCATGAATATGTAGCTATGGAAAATAGACCGAATAATATGAATAGAATGAGAATGAAAGAGAAAGAGAAGACTTCAGAAGAATCCAAAAACCCAATCAAACAGAAAACAATGGATAAACCTCTACTCCTGTTCAAAAAACCTGAGAGGAGCATGAACTCGATGATAGGTGAAGATATCTACTACAATTGAGGAAAAAAAAATATTCAGAGTTTAGGCAGAAATATCAAAATTATAGAGATGAAGTAGACTTTAGAAGGAACCAGAAATCCAATCCTAAACTGGTAACAAGAGATAAACCTCTACTCCTGTTCAAAAGATTGGAAAGGAGTGTGAACTGGATGGTAAAGAAATGTATGTACTATTATATTAAAACAGAAGAAAATGATTGACACTGCATTTAAATT